GACGATTGATCTACCGTGGGTAATGATGTAATACCAGCAGAAATACCATTGAATCGCATGTGTTTATTTAAAAGTGCTGCCGCGACTTTGCTTCTAAAAAAAAAAAAAAAAAAAAAAAAACAAAAAAAAGCAACGTAATTAAAAAATAACATCAAAAGTGTATAGGACAAATTGGTTTATTTCTTACGCGTAACACACTGTTTCATGTGTATTTTATAATAAATTAATTATTTTATGTTAATGTCAAGATGTGTCAAAGTTAACGATCATACTTTTTTTCTTTTTTTTTTTTTAATAAACGCTATTCTTATAACACGCATACTTTGATCTCATACATCTTGAGATTTCATATTTTCAATTCTCATTGTTAGATCAAGTTTCCAGTAGTAAAGAAAAAGTTATTACTACACCGTAAATTGATTTCCGCTAAGGAAAGTAGCAGTTCGCTGAAATATGGCTAATTTTACTCATTCTTCTTTCATCTAGAATGAAAAGAACGAGGCCAGGTGCTCATTCTCTCTCTCTCTTTCTCTCTCTCTCTTTCTCTCTCTCCCTCTCTCTCTCTTTCTCTCTCTCTCTCTCTCTCTCTTTAGAATCGGATTAAAGATATGGATTTTTTGTTCTTCAAGAGTGTCGAGAAAACGGTATTACTTTGTAGTATAATATTATAGTACTGTGTTCTCTTGCGTGATATGCGAATGATACAATTTTTTCAAATATTTAATCGTAAAATTTTATCGCTGCGTTTTTAATATCGTTTGATCGAAATTGAAATATTATGCGTGCTTTGAAAACCAACAAAAAAAAATATATTAATTATATATATTAATTATTCTCTCGCGAAACGATTCGAACGAAAATTTATTCCAACCATTCCGAAAAAAAAGATACCGAGAAAGAGATAGAGAAAAAAAAACATTAATTTTGGGAACGAGAAAGAAAAAAAAAAAAAGAAATTGCATCCTTTAAACGAATACAATTTGTTTAGAAATAATATTTCAATTTTGAGCGTATCAAATGATAACCCTTTTTATTCAAATTGTAATATAATTTTCAATACAATTATTCCCCCCCCCCCATCAAACCTTCGTTTAATTGATTTCATTCAGTTGAGATATCGCGGTTTTGTAAAATTAATGAGAGCTAGACGTTAATAATGTATTCCTCGTTCGAGATATTTTCTCTGTTATGTGTTAGTTGTTTAACTGTTAAAAATATAGATCGTTGAATTTTCCTTGCTATACAAATGTTGCTTTTGACATAGTATGATAATTATTCATGAAATCGTTTTTTTTTAATCTTTATCCCTATCAGTAAGGGAAACCTTGACATTGGCCCTATTAATCATACGCTTTGCTATTTCGTGTTTTCATCCGTTAACTATGAAAGATCTCTTCTTGAACGCTTTTACAAACCACGTAAGTATCCATATTCTCCAGTCCTTTTTCATATGTCTCGACGACTTGTCTCTTTCTTCAAAATCCGAGCTTACGGTATCTATTATTCCTTCCCTTTTCACTAGGTTTATAACAGTCTACGACCTAGTTCGTGGATACTTAAGAACGTAACGTATGTCAAAGGATTTTGTGTAAAAATAAAAAGTAAATACTTTTATCCAGTTAATACCCCTTTTTTTATTTATTATTATTATATATTATATATATTATATATATTATATATA